ATAGGATGAAAGAACAAAAGATAATTAGTAGGAGGGGAAGGAGGCAGATAAATATAGACGTTATGTTTCCGGCATAATCACCAAATGTGTTAGTTCTAGACGATAATTCTAGGTTTGGAAAAATGTATGGTAATTAAATGCAATTCCATATTATGACTAATCTAGGGCTGTGCAATGAAAGGCTGCGTTTGCATGTGTCTGTGCCAGAGCTATGGGCTATAAAGCAGTCGTGAGCCACAATGCTGGGGGATTGACATGCTCATTTCCATTTTGATTAACGCAGGATCAACAGAAAATCAATTATTTCATAAATGAGTCAGGAAGTAGTCGAGCTGGTGTGTGAGAGGAAGGGCAATCAAACGGAAACGGGGGACACATGTAATGTATGTTTTCTGTACAAACCAATCACTCTCATGCATGTATAATTTGAATGTGGGTGTATCCTGTCAGACTTGGGGCCCATTTATGGCGACTATACTCTAAATCTGCTGTCAGTACGATGTTTCAATCAATCAATGTTTATTCATATAGCCCAATATCACAAATGTTACATTAGTCTCAGTGGACTTCACAGTGTGTACAGAATATCAGTATGACAATACGACACCCTCTGTCCTTAGACCCTCACATCATACAAGGAAACACTTCCAGAGAGAAACCCACAGTCTAAAGGGGAACATGGGAGAAACCTCAGGGAGAGCAACAGAGGAGGGATCCCTCTCCCAGGACGGACCGACGTGCAATAGATGCCGTGTGTAAATCGAAGAGATAATACATTTTACAGCATATAGACCAAATGTTAGGAAATGCATGTGTGTATAATACACTAATAATTCACTATCATTATCTGAAGAGTCTAAATGTAGTTATGTGGATGTGTGTATGTGTAGCATCTATATCTGGAGCAGGACTGAGGCTATACACATAAACCTACTGCATGAAAGATCTTCACAGTAGCCATCAGTGCTGCAGTATTGCATTACAGGTCTTAAACAAGCTATTCTTTTACATCTTTGTTTCCCATTTTACCTTTCAAATTTTAAAAACATTGACAAAATGTAAACTCAAACACAATATTTAACGTTTGATTATCATTCAAAGTCAAACCCAACTTTAAATCTTCCAATTATATAAAACGCATTTATATTTAGTGAAGCTAAGTCGTACGGTTGATGACTTACGTACAAATATTAATAATCCAAGACTGACTCACACACACAAAGAAAAGTTCACACACACACACACACACACACACACACACACACACACACACACACACACACACACACACACACACACACACACACCTTAACCATACACTGTATTGAATGGCATTTTGTTAACTTGCTTTTAAAAGTGTGTGATTTTATGTCTTCCTGTGTTGTCATAATTTGCAGCCAAAACACATTTATGAGACTCATTTATTCTAAAAACATTGGAGGTAAAATATAAAATAAACATGATTCTAGATATGTTATATTTAGGGCCGGGACTCGATTAAAAAAATTAATCTAATTAATTAAAGGCTTTGTAATTAATTAATCGAAATTAATCGCATTTTTAATAACATATAAATATTTGACCTAAGAACAGTGAGATTTTAGACATGGATTTTAGTATACCATTAGGCGCATTCACACCGCAGTACTTTTCCCACAAAGGTTCATGAGAACTTAGTTCATGAGAACTCTTTGAACCTGGGGGAGGATTAGGCAAATGAAGCCGCTGACGTCACTTCTTCTTCTTCTGCTTTGGGTTTACTGGCAGGCCGCAAACCACTTCACGGCGTATACTGCCGCCCAAAGTCCCCGGCCGGAAGTCACCTGAGTTAGGGACTGGCTTCAGTAGAAGCTGCTGGGAGTCCCAGCAGCCTTCCGAGTAAATCGCCAGAACGCCGACACCTCCTCATCTCCACCGCTCCCATGTTTTATTTTGTGTTGCCATAAATTAGTCTCTCTGCGTTTCTGCGCTGGGATAATGCTAATGCTAATAATGCTAATGCCAGGATAATAAAATGGCGGCTTCACAAAACTTTTTGGGAGTTTTACGGGGCGTGGTTTGCAATCCGCCCAGCCAATCAGAAATATAGCTCTTTTCTCACAAGAGAGCCGTACGAAAGTCCCTGCTCTCTAGCAGCTCTCTGCTCTCTAGCACGGACTTTCGTGGGGGTAAAAAGGTTCTCATGAACTAATTTTAGTACCTGCTCTTTTTGGTGTGAACGCGATAAAAGAGGCTAACGTCCAGGCTAGCTGCTATATGTTTTGCATTGAGGTGATACTTGAGGCTTGATGTGCTGCGGTGATATGCGAATTCCTTTTTGCATAATTTGCACACAACCGTGCTCTTATCGACGCTTCCATCCGTCCGTTTTTTAAAACAACATTTCCCACTGTTGTTCACTGTGGTTTGTTGTTGTCTGAAGTCATGAACGTTAGTTGGTGCTCCAGTATAATCGGTACGCCTGAAACTCATCCAGTGAGAAACGTTCCGCGGTGCAAAAATAAGTGCGATTAAAATGCGTTAATTTTTTTAACGCGTTAATTTTTGTGTAATTAATTAATCTTAATTAACGCGTTAAAGTCCCGGCCCTAGTTATATTTAAAGTGGAGAAATATAGTGTAATCCTTATTGATACTTTATAAATGCTA